AGAGTTTCATTTATTTATTTATAAGAGAATATAAAAATCTCTCATATGGGCAAGATCAAGAGTTGTTAAAAAGCTTTCTTTAGCTATTCTTGTTTTGTTTTTCTATTTCGGTATTCTCGAATTGGAAAAAAATTACTCTTTTGAATTTATGTTCCAATGTCTAATAATTAAAATATTCCTGTTTTAAAACACTAAGAAAAAAAAAAAAAAAAAATATATATATAATATTTAACTATATATATATATATATATATATATATATATATATATATATATATATATATGTTAAAAGTGAGTGAATAAAATAGAAATTTTCGTGGCAGATAATTTAAGAAGACAATTAACCCGAAAAATGTATCGCTATTGTAACCGAAGTTAAAGGTATCACTTTGCTAAATTTACGAAGCAGTTCCTTTTTAGGGATTAATTGGTTCTGTTTTCGATCTCCTGATCTATAACTCTTATAGAAATTTTTATCAACCATTTTATGATATACTTAGCTAAACCAATCGAAATAACGACAAAAATAAACGTTAAAACATCATTAAAGAATGTATAGAATTATTGAATATCTAGCATTTCAAAAATCCTAGAAAAGATGGTAAATACAAGACTTATTGATGCGCTGGAAAATAACAATGCCCTCTCTCCACAACAGTTCGGCTTCAGAACCAAACGTTCAACGACTCACTCCGTGTTGTTATTAAGCCTATAAGCCGAAGAGGCACATAGAGAGCATTTAATTGCTATAGAAGGTTTATGACATAATAGCAAGAGGACGTGTCTTAACAACCCTGGAAAGAGTAGGCATAGAAAGGAATATGTGGACTTATATCCAAAATTTTACAGCAAATTTTGTGTGCGAGTAGGGAAAACTATGTCCTTGAGTTATTCCTTGGGAAATGGAACTTCACAGTTGGTTGACTATTAACTAATTTATAGTAATGGCAAATACGTTTAACAAAATATACATATATAAACAACTAATACCTCATATTCTATTTTTCAATATTTAACATGACCCATCGAGTAATTGACCGTTTACATTTAAACGTTTTCTCGATGTTTTTGTGTGATCAGCTGCAGGATTATCACAAAGTGGTTTACACAAGTACATATTATAACATTAAATGGTTTTCAAACAATTAAATAAGCATTATGTAGATAGAATTGAATGACAATGGAGTTGGCTTGAAATTAAATACTTGAAATTAGAAAACCTTTATAAGCTTCATCCCTTTGTGTTCTTTGTAGTCGAACTAATTGGACAGGTAGCTTATATCATTTAATTCTCCAATATCTGTCTCCCTTATTCGTCCCTAATCTATACAACTATAATTATAATGTTTTTTTTTTTGGTGCTTATCTATAACTTTAAAAATAAATTTGTTGGGTTTTCACATTTTATTCCAATTATTAAACTGATTTTTCATACTAAATCTTTGCAGCTATTTAAATAAACATAAAACAAAGAAATTTTATGTTTTTTCATAGAGTTTTTGGGCCATATTGATAATAGAAGAGATAAACAAAGATTAAGAATTAACCATGGTCGACAAAATCACATCTTGACACTAATTAAAGTTGGAAAAAAAAATATAAATGTTTGACATGCAACTAATCGATTGCACATTATACTAAAATGCAGCAAATATTATAAATATCGGAATAAACACTCCCTCATACAAAACAATAGCACTTTTCTCCAAGGGCTGGAAGATCTAGACAGCGGTACCATTCAGTCATTGCGCAAATTTATGGATAAATTAAAATTATATTTAAAATATATAAATAATTTACATCCATACCTCCATTCTTTTATAATATGACAATAGAGGCAGTATATGACTTCAATGGAAGTCTTGGTCCGACTAGATAGAAAAAAATATGAGATGAATTGTAAAAATAATAAAAAAATCATCTGCCAGTATAGCTTCAGCTTTAGAAAATATCCATATTACAAGATCTAAAATTTTTCGTATGAGAATAAAATCTCTGGAAGAAACCGTTTTCGGAAATTCAGCAATGACTCAACATAAACGGGATTGATATCCACGAGTTTTGTCTGTCAGCGAATACTAAAATATGAAAGAGTTCCATATTTGCATATTGCATATTTTATGATTTGTGATTTAAAAAAAATATATATCTAGTGCATACTGAACAAAAATATAACTACTGTTAGTGCAAAAAGCCTTAAGTAAAAATTGAGTGTTTTATAGGAGAGTTTTACATAAAAACTAATTATCATTTATGATCTATTGGTATAATTTTATATTATATTGAGCTCTGCTATTTTCCACAGTACTGGTACTTGTGAGGGGTAGAGAAGGAGAAAGGCTAAGTCAGGCAAGTGAGCCTATTGGTCCTTTTTGCCAAACCCAAAGACAAAACTGCCAATGGTTGTCTACTACTACATCTCCAACTCTGCCCCAAACCCTTTTATTCTTCTAATGAACTTTAAAAGGCTGAATCATTTTAAATTCATTTCTTGTATTCCATCTGGGCTCAGAAGTCTGAATATGAGCAACGCAAATCGGTGTGAAAATTTTCGACTTTGAGCACATTTTTTTAATCTCTCGCACGAATACAAAGATTCCCTACATTTGATAGTGAGGAAGAAAAATTAGAATCTAAAAAACAATGGATTGACGGATCTAGGAAGGGATGGAGTACCATAGGGTTGAGGTTCTTTTTTTTTTTTTTTTGTTTTTGGGTCGTCCCCTTCCTCGCCTTTAAGGCTATACGGGGTTCTCCCGGACCATGGAGTGTGGGCGGGGATTTAAAAGACTCCCCCGGCATCGTTGTCTCATATGTCAGGTTGCCGGCCAACGATTGTGCTGTGCACACTCGTTAGCCCATTCGGCCACCCCGCCCACTGGGGTTGAGGATCGGATACTGAAGGATTTGTCGAAAGTAGAGGTTCGGTGGGGTCTTGTGTATATTTCTGGTATGCGTGTTTTTTCCTCTGTTATCCCTGCTAATCAGCTGTATCTAACATAATCTTCGTCTCCTGTGTTTATGGATCCTTCTGTTTTCTTTAGGATGTATTTGGATGGCTTGGTGAGATTTTTTTTCCTGCATATATGTTATCTTGTTTTATCTGCCCTAAAGAATGTTAGCAGGCTAACTGTTCGTCCGTATGTTAGAGACCATGGCTTTTTAGTGTGGATTTTTATTTTTATAACATTATTTAATTTTAATGTTAGGTTGATGATATATATGTATTCATTTGAAGTAATGTTCCGTTATTATAAACCAAGTTTAATTCATTATACATTATATATAAATACATTCATAGCGCTTTTCCCTTTCTTGTTTGTTGTTATAAACAACTAACTACTACTTAACGTCGCAACTGTTATTACATAGTATCTTTATTCGCGAAGTTCCCAGACGAAGGAGTCGCAGAATAATATAATTTTGTATCCCTCGAGATTGCGAATGTCCCACTTGATCAGGCATCAAGCTACTCCGAAATTTATTTGTAAGACTTATATGAAGTATAAAAGATTGATAAGGCGTGTAGTAGTTGGACAACTAGATTGTGTTAAACAAGATGCACAAACAAACTACATCATCGCTAGTTGATGCATACATACTGGAAACTTGTTCGGTAAGTTAGTTACAGGAAACAGTGCTTCTATTGAACTCTGTAGTTGTACTCAAACACTACTAAGATTTATAGTTACATACAACTTGTATAACACGATTTATTTAATCTAGGCTGAAACTAAAATACATTGTCTATGTTTACACTGTTATATATATGCAAGTGAGGCATACATTACCTGGGACATAAAAGCTCAGCTAAGATAATTATCAGAACATAAATTTATTAAATGAAAAAAAGTATTTATTAACGACTGTAAATTATTAATCTATCGACACTCTGATACTCTGTCGACTTACGCAGACGGTAGAACAATCTTGATAATACATCAAACTTAAATATACGCCTCATAGACTCTACAATATCACCTAAACAAATTCCACAACTGGTACAAACTCTGAAGAATTCGACTCAACCAAGACAAATCACTACATATCACTTTTACCCTTCGACGTGAAACTTGTCCTGCACATAAGTTCAATATCTTCGTCTGACTTTTGACGGAAGAATGACATGGGGCTCACATATCAAGAACAAAACAAAAACTTTAAACCTAAGACTACGGCTATTATACTCACTCCTTTCATGACATTCGAAATTAAAACTTACACAGAAATTGAACGCGTGTACTTACCTAATCAAACCCCCTTAGACTTAAGCTTCGCAGTTACACGGGACAGCCAAAAAGATTCACATAAATAAACTACAGACTTTTCAATCAAAACTTTCAGGACTATCACCAAGGTTCCCTGGTATGTCAGCTTACTTTACAGACCTACAGATGCCAACTGTTAACGACCACACAAGAACTACAAAAGATTTCAAAATAACTTACACGTACATACCAACAAGAAGTTGGATGAGGGATCTCCTCATTTATATATGTATTTTACAGTTCTTTTAATTGAATGAATACAGGAAGGATTCAAGACAGGAAGAACGCCGCTAGGCACTCCTCTCCTTCACGCTTATTCACGCCAATTTTCTAAGTCTCAACATCACATCGCTGATTGTCTGAACCTCCAACAGCTATGAGTGGAAAAAATTAAGCTATTAAAAAAAATTATTAATTTAAAAAAAATTATTGAATAATAATAATATAATCCATCACGCCCAAGCTAAATAACTATTGATGCTAAGGTATTCATTCAATTAAAAGAACTGTAAATACATATATATATATATATTATATATTACAGTTCTTTTAATTGAATGAAGATATATATATATATATATATATATATATATATATATATATATATATATATTTATATATTATCATATATATATATAATATATATATATATATCTTTTTTTATTATCATGTAACATAATAATAATAATAATAATAATAATAATAAAAATAGTAGTATCTGAACGATTAGGAATGGTGCAAATTGAAAATGAAGAGCAGCCAACAGAACCTTTTCTAGAAAGATCGATGGCAATAGAGGCAGCTCCTCCAGAAGAAGAAGACAAAGACATTGACAAACTAGTGGAATCATTATTATCCCAGCATGTGATTTATGAGGGGATACCGCTTGATGTTAGACCAATCCTCTCAAAGATTCCCTATAGCTTCAAATCACGGTTGACTGTGAATCGGGTTAATGAGGCTCTGAGTAGAATTATTGTAGATTACCCAGAACTGACTGCCGAAGCTGTTTGTCATTGGGCCTATGTTGCAGCTAGTGTCATTATTATTGAACTTGGCTTGGAAAAACAAGGAAAAAAAAAAATAAAAATCATACAAAACTTCCACGCTGGCAGAGAAGATTGGAAAATAAAATAGCGTCGCTCAGGGCAAATATTGGAGTCATAACGAGTTATATCAGGAACCCCGTTGGAGCAAGTACAAAAGTAAAACGAAAAATCGACGAAATAGTTGTACTACAAATAGGGGTGGTGTTAGAATCTGAGCTCACCGAAAAACTGGCTTTACATGCTGATATACTGAAGCAAAAACTTGCAGTTTATGCAAACAGAATACGAAGATATAAAAAGTCGTTACTTCGAAAACAGCAGAACAAAATGTTCAAAAACAGTGAGCAGCAGTTTTATCGGAGCTTAGGTAATGATAATAAGGGAGGTGCAAATTGTTCATTAACTGACAATATTATAGAGTATTGGAAAGAGCTTTGGGAGCACAATGTAGAGCATAATAATGAAAACGAATGGTTAAAATTAGTAAATGCTGAACTTCAGGAGAAACCTCAAATGCCAGAATTCGACATCTCGAAAGAGGATGTAATCATCGCTACAAAGAAAATGAAAAATTGGAAAGCGCCGGGTAGTGATAGAATTCAGAATTACTGGTTAAAGAATCTATCCTGCCTGCATGAAACACTTGCAATGAATTATAAAAAAATGATAACAGGGCAGATAGACATTCCCAAAACGTTTTGTGAGGGCGTTACTGTGCTGATTCCCAAAAAAGTAGGAGATCGATTGGACCCCCAAGATTTTCGGCCAATCACTTGCCTCAACGGTGTGTATAAGATTTTAACATCCATCCTCACAAGTAAAATTGAAGTTCACCTGCAAACCAATAATTTGATTCCACTCGAGCAGCTTGGCTGTAGAAAAGGAGCCCAAGGGTGTAAAGAACTTTTGCTCATCGATTCATTCGTTGCAGGCCAGACGACCATGAATAAAAGAAATTTGTCAATAGCCTGGGTTGATTACAAAAAAGCATTTGACTCAGTTCCTCATAGTTGGCTTTTAAAAGTTCTGGATTTATATAAAATCCATCCTTATATTAAAGAACTTCTGAGGAAATTGATGGACAACTGGAAAACAAGACTGAGAATAGGAGATAAGCAATCACCTGAATACATTACCATTTCAAGAGGTATATACCAGGGAGACTGCCTCAGCCCCCTTTGGTTTTGTCTTGCGATGGCTCCATTGTCAATTTTATTAAATCGTGAAGAAAATGGATACAAAGTAAAATTTAATGAATTAAGTGCAATGATCAGTCATAGCTTTTATATGGACGATTTAAAACTCTACGCAAAGAATAAATCCCAGCTCCAGTCTATGCTAAAGACAGTCAGCCACTTTAGTGACTCCATACAGATGTCCCTTGGGACTGAGAAATGCGCAGTTCTTCACGTTATAAAAGGAAAACCAAATAATTCCGAAAACTTGTTTAATGAAGAATATCATATTAAGAACCTTCAGAAAGAAGATATGTATAAATATCTAGGGATAGAACAGCATTTAAAAATAGCTAGAAAGGATGTAAAAGGTAAATTGATAGGTTCATTTAAAAAAAGACTAAAGATCATCCTTAGAACACATCTTTCTTCAGGTTTAATGATAAAAGCTATAAATACATGGGTTATTCCTTCCTTATCTTACAGCTTTGGAATTCTAAAATGGTCCACAACGTCACTCCAGGAATTAGATAGGTTAATAAGAACAAGTATGACGGGTTCCAGAATGCACCACCCGACTGCATCTATGGCAAGGCTTTACCTGCCAAGAAAGGAAGGAGGGAGAGGTCTTACAAATATTGAAGAGTCTTGTCGAAATCAAGAAAAGAACCTAAGGGAGTACTTTAAACAAAGCGCAGTGCCGTGCATAAGATAATCTGCAATCTCGATCGCGGGCACACTGCTCTACAATTAGCCTCTCATGAAACTGCGCCAATCTTTGTTACCGACAAAGACCGCATGGAAGAATGGAAGTCAAAAGCATTACATGGAAGGTTTTTTCACCAGCTTCAGCAGACTGAAATAGATAAATCTTTGTCTGTTAGCTGGCTGGTAGGAGGAAGTCTGTTTCCCGAGACTGAAGGTTTTTTAACTGCAATCCAGGACCAGGTTATAGCTACCAGATCCTACTGGCGACACGTCTTGAAGCAACAGAATGTATCGGACAAATGTAGGCTCTGTGCAAGCACATATGAGTCCATTCAACACATAACTGGAGGCTGCGGAGCTCTTGCAGGTACAGAATACTAAAAAGACATGACGATGTTGCCAAAGTCTATCACCAGGCAATTGGTCTAAAAATTAAATTATTAAACGACTCGAAGCCCTACTATAAATATTGCCCTAAAGGTATTTGCCAGAAAGATGACTTAAAATTATATTGGAACCAATCGTTCATAACAGACCATCTCGTGATCCACAACAGACCTGATATTGTATTAATTGACGGTAATATTAAGGTGGCTGAAATTATAGATATCGCTGTGCCAAATGACGGAAACATTAACTCAGTCTGCGCAGAAAAAATTCGGAAATATCAAGGTCTAGCAGCTGAGTTAAAAAGTTTGTATAAACTTAATAAAGTAACCGTTAGGGGCATCGTGATCTCCAGCAATGGCCTGGTACCGGTGTCTACTGTGGAAGCTACTGACAGGCTGGGCCTCCCAACTCATGTAATAAAGGAAGCTCAGAAAGCGGTGCTGCTGAATACTGCCAGAATTGTAAGAAGCTTTCTCAACATTCAATAGTAATTAAAATTGAACATACCTGAGGTGGTTGGAGTTGATTCTCCCCCTCTCAAGTAAACAAAAAGCCTTTTGTAAGTGTTGACAAATAAAATAATAATAAATAATAATATATATATTATTATTATTATTATTATTATGTTACATGATAATAATATATATATATATATATATATATCTTTTTTTATTATCATGTAACATAATAATAATAATAATAATAATAATAATATAATATATTATTATTATTATTATTATTATGTTACATGATAATAATATATATTATATATATATATATTATTATTATTATTATGTTACATGATAATAAAAAAAGATAAATTAAAATTAATAATACTGTTAAGTTAAATAAAAATAAAACAATATTTTTTATTTCAACTCTGGTTATTTTCTTTAAATGGAAATTACACTATAAACCAGCAAGCCATTAATAACCGACCATTTAATTTCCAATAACAAACCATATTGATTTTGGGGAATGGGGAAAAGGTGGTCATTATTATTGAAATTGGAATCCCCTGTAATGATAATAGGGGTATTTAAGCGACCTGCTAAATGCTTAATGAGTTATCGTACTAAACAGTTAGCATGAATCATGAATGAACGGACTCTTCTGTAATAGCCTCCTAAGGAATCATTCCATGTAAAATCATTCAAAGAAAAAAGAAAATATGGCCCCCATTAAGGAATAATATAATTAAGATATGTATTGGTACATTAGTCATATTAAATAAGCTCATTAAATATTTTTTAAAGTGTGGAAATGGCCTAATTACAGTTATATTTAAAAAAAAAATGTTTGTCAATTTACAACGAATACGAGACAGATCTACGGGGAGGTGGAGGGATACATTCGGGCTAAAGTCTCCCAAAATAGTAAAAATAACAATGGCGTATGAAAAAAATATACAAAAATTAAAATAAAACTAATTTAATAGGACTTCAAGAAATGCTTAAACATCATTTAATATTGGTACTTAGTTTCTTTATTTTTTTTAGAAAGTAATATATGTTACATATATAAACAATAAAAAAAAATCGGACCCTCCCTTCAAATTAAATCTTGGATCCGCTACTGTTGAGTGCAATAGAGATATTTGATAGCTGGTTGTTAAGTTTAATTGAGGGGATTCTGTATAGTATTTAACAAAACAAGAAATTTTATTTATATTTCGTTCAAAGTTTTGCATTATGATTATCTCAAAAAACGTCAAGTTAATTTTTAGGCGGTGTTAAATATGACAATTTGCTAAACACATTTCACAAAAATCAACGAGAGGCATGCTAAAATTTTCATTTTCTATTTTATCCAGATAAATGAATATTATCTTTTACAAATAAATGAATAAAATATTAAACGTAATTATTTTTCGTTTGGTAAGGAATTTGTATTAATGAGATCCGGTCGAAGATAATGCTTCTTAAGGATCAGAATAGGAACGGCTGAATCGGGGAATAGATCCTTAAGTTAAGTAGGTTGCTTTTATTAATCGAATCCAAGATGATGACATCGATTTCCTCTCCAGCTCCAGAAGCTGGAGGTAATGGAATGAGAAAAGTCCAGGGTTCCTCCAGACGGAGTGTTATTGCCCCGGGCCACACCTGTGTAACCATAAGCTAACCCATTCCCAGCTGGGTAACTGCAAAGGTGCACCTTTGTACCTATCTACTCTATTAAACTCATCTTTCTTTTTTATCGAACATCGAATTGAAATTTATCCTCTTCCTTCCTGTAGTTATCTTATTAAATTTTAATTCTGACTCGAGTGAAGGGTAGTACAATAATAATCACAAATTACGCTCATTTAAATAAAATATTTTATGAAACATTGGACCGTTACATGATAGTTCTTTTAAAATATATATTGGGTTGGAGCATTTATGAGATTAACACTCCTGGATGGTTAGAAAACACATTAAAAACAAAACAAAAAAATACATAGCTACTTAATAGTTAAATTAAGAGAAAGGCTCTGGAAAAATGGCAGGGTTTCTGGCATGTGTTAAGAGAGAATAAGTTGAGAGTGATCGAGCCCTCTGTAGTATCAAATCGAGCGGACCTTCAGATAAACAGAAGAGAAGAAATAATACTGACAAGGCTCCGAATCGGCCACTCACGGCTAACCCATGAGTACCTAATGACAAAGGGGACGCCCCCTCAGTGTCCCTGCTGCAGGATCAAATTAACAGTCAGGAACATTTTGACCGAGTGTTATGCATATGAAACATAACGGAATGAAGTCAAATTGGAGAATGACATAACTGAAATTTTGAAAAAATACCACCAAATTGGAAAAAAAACTGTTTAAATTATG